ATGCACAAAACTTAAACACAATTTAATTTTACTCCATTTATTTCATCAAATATTCATCACTTCCTTTGAAATCGAATTATCGTTTTAACTTAAACTACCATAAATGATTGCTATATTATTTTGTTTGGATATTGTATTTCTCCAACAAACTAGCAATCGTGCACCATCATGAATTTTTTAAATTTAGAATTGAGACGTAAATAAATTGAAGTATGTAATAAAAAAAAAATCATATCATTAAATATGTAACAAATTTAGGTTATTGACTAAAATGACCATAAAAATTAATTAAATAAAGTTAGAAGTTTTTTAAAATAATAAAAAGGATAAAGATAAGTAAATTTGGTAACCAATATTACTAGAACTTCAACAAGCATCCTTTATTATATTTGCGGCTTGATTCGCTCGAAGTACTTGCCATTTTAATTTATTGAATTTGTTGATATATATGTGTAAAGCCTAGCTATTATATATATTGCACTAAATCATAATGACTTTACAAATATAGAAAACGAATTATTTATAAGTTACAAGGATGAAACATCGATTAATAGAAAAGTTTTACTTAAGCTTAAAATACTAAAATCATTAAATATTGATTTTATAGTAATGTCGTTAATGATGCTAGCTAATATTTTTCAATTATACTCAAGTTATTTATATAATAATATTCAAATATCGATCTTTTTTATTCTTTTGACCATATTATCAAAAATACGAATCACCAAATCATTGGGTGCAATTCTACGGAAGACTAATCTTGCTAACTTCCCTTAGACCTTATCACCACATATCCTCCATCCTAACTCGTATCCTAAGTTCATTATTATTCTTTGAATCTAACTTAAAAACATGTGATCGACGGTTAGATAGATTTATATATATATATATATATATATATTATAAGAATATAACTACATTGTGTTTGTGTACCTACTTCACAGATGGAATCACCACGTACGTGTTGGACACAAATAAGCTCTCTTCTTGACACGTTCCATTCTATTTTCCTTATACCAAACACTTACTCTTAACCTTTCTCAATTTCCTCACCCCAACACTCAAATTGCCTCTTCACTTCCCTCAAACATCTCCAAGACTTGCTAATAAATTTCAATTCATAATAGCAACCAATCAATTGTTATTTTTATTATACATACAAAATATATATGTGTCTATTAGGGGTGTACAAAACCGAATCGAAAACTGAATCAAACCGCAAATTGAGTCAAATCGGAAAAAAAATCTGACTAGTGGTTTGGTTTGACTTGGTTTGGTATTGGAAAAAAACCCGATTATATTTGGATTGGTTTGATTTTAACTAAAAAAAATAACCCGATACCAAACCAACCCGACATTATATATGTAATTTTAAAATTTTATTTTATACATAAAATATTTACTTTCATATAATTTTAAAATATTTCTTATACTATTTCATAGTTTTTATCTTTTAATATATTATTTCAAGTTTAAAACTTAGAATTCGGAATGGTCCAATAAAGAGTATTGTTCATAGATGTTGATAATTATAATAAAACTTAAATCAAAATCAAATTAATACTAATGCAAAATGAAAATCAATTCAACACTAAGAATGACAATAATATTTGTATTTGTTCTTTAGTTTTACATTGGTTTAGACAATTAAAATACATAATCTAATTTTAATTTTCTTTAAATATTTAGTAATGTAACTAATACTTATTAAACTTATTTTAGCATGATTTAGTACTTTTAAATTATGATCATTTTCATTATGACTTTGCAATTTTTGTTTTATATGATGATTTCATTATTATTTTTTATTGAATATTTTAGTGTCATCGGTACTCATCTCATATTTTGTGTTATTTTCTTAAGAAACACCTTAGATAATTGTATTTTGGTTAGACTAAAGAAATATTTGGAGCACAAGTTAATTATATGTTTGTATGCAAATTTTACCGAAAATATCCAAAAATCTGAAAAAATCCGAGGTTTATTAGTTTGGTTTGATTTATAAATTTAAAAATTTGACGCAATAGTTTGGTTTGGTAGTTGAAAAACCCGAACCAACCCGAGGTTGAAAAACCCAAAAAAATCTAAATTTTATTAGTTTGATTTGATTTATAAATTTAAATTTTTTACACAAATAATTTAATTTGATATTTAAAAAACCCGAATCAACCCAATTATGTACACCCTGTCTATAGTTTGTTCTCAGCTGACATCCCGTATAAGACACTCAAATTGCCTCTTCACTTCCCTCAAAGATCACCAAGACTTACTAATAAATTTCAATTCACAATAGCGACCAATCAATTGTTATTTTTATTATACAAAATATATATATGTGTCTGTACTTTGTTCTCATCTGACATCCCGTATAAGATACATTAACTTATATAAAGTTAAATAAGTATGTATATATATATATATCATTATACATATTGATATTGAAATTGATATTTCATGTGAATTTACATGTAAAACACGTATATATATACTTAATTTAATTTTATATAAATTCAAATATCTATTTATATTCACCAAACATCGATGTCAAAACCGAGTTAAAGTACAAGTAATGCCTCTTTCTATTTTAGAAAACATAAACTGATACGTTGCCTCGAAGTTCATTAGTTAGGTGTCTTTTGTACCATTGCCACTTCTCAGCTCTTGGCTCTATATAATTGAAATGACATGAACCCAAGTTGGAAGAGTTACTCACATTACTACTTATTGTTCCTCATACGTACGTCCAAGATCACAAGTCATTGGTGAAGCCACAACTAAACTAATGACGGTTTCATCTCTCTACTATCTGATTTTTTGTTTCGCTTATTCATATTTAATTTAAAATTTCATAGTTTGCTTTCTTCCTCTAAATCATGCTTCCTCAATTTCAGGATTTTTTAAAGTAAAGATGCGAATGAGTTGATTCTGCATCGAATGAATGTTGAGGATGTTATTCAATAATTGGAGGTAATGGTAAAATCTAATTTTCTCCATTTGTATTGTTTATAAAGTTCCAATAGGTCTATATCAATTTAGAATTTCATTCATATACTTGTTATAAATTGTTGTCTAATTAGTGCTGTATACTAATTTGTATATGATATGATTCTAGGGAGTTGTATTTGGATAAATGAAATTATGCATATGATTTTAGAGAGTTGTATTTGTACTTCAGCATTTGTGCATTTTCAATAGTTTTCCAACATTACTTATTTGTATATCGCTTATATTTATTCAAAATTGCTTATTTATCTAACATTTAATTATATTTATATACTTTCTTTTTTATATCAATATAGAATTAGATTTTTGTACACAGTTAATTGTATTTATGTCTTTTCTATTTGTATATCTATAGAAATGGTATATAATTAATTATTTGTATATCTCAAGTAGTTGTGCATTTTTAGTAATTGTCTGATATTTGTATTTGTATATCTCTTACATTTATCCAATATTGCTTATTTATCTAACAAATAATTGTATTTATATACCTTTTATTTTTATTGATATCAGTTACTGATAATTGTGTTCTTTCTTAATTTAATTTCAAGAAAATTGATGACCATATTTTCAAGGAAGAAGTTTCGAACTTCAGGAGACTTTTTTGGTAAGATATACTTGGAAAACATACTTCGCATATTTTGTGAAAGTTTTTCCATTATAAAATAGAATTTTATAAGTAACTGATCAATCAAGCAATTAAATGTCAATCTGCATTAATTAAGGAGTTAGCTATCAAAACTATCAAATGTTCCTTTATTTGTATAAATAACAGATCAAAAGCACAAAATATACCTTCTGTAGCACATTAAATTATAGCTACGATTTATAATTAGAGAAATATCAACTAAAAAGTATGATTGTATTAGTCTTAGTTATTTTTTAAAATTTCCTTCTTTCACAAACACTACTACACAAGAAAATGGGCCGTGGCCCATGAAGACATCTAAGCCCTTGTGTAATTTTAGCTTCAGTAACATCTAAAGGTTGTAGGTTAATATTCCTCCTACAAAACCAAAATACTTCTCACATTATGATTGCAAAACTCTGATCGCATATGTAATTGGCAGGAATTAAAGAAAACTCAACAACTTTAATAATCACACATATGTAATTGACTGAAAACACAACTACTCAAATAATCACACAAATATAATTTGAAAAAAAATTTAACTACTCTAATGATCATACATACTCTCTCTTCTCATATTAGTTGATCATTTTCTTTTTTTATACACATATTTAGAAATCATAAATAAGAAAAATAATTATATACTAATTCACCCCTTGAAAATTTTTATGATCAACAAATTAATTGTAAGGTTAATATAGAAAAAAAATTAATTAATGCTTTTTTGGGGAAAAGGGTCTGAAATATATCTAAATTTTGACCTAAATTGCTATAACGATACTAAACTTTGAAAATGACCTTCTACCCCCTGCACTATTTAATAGTGTATTTTAAAGGTATATATGTGCACACGTGGACATCATAAATATTTCATAATTATAAATAGTAACGTGTCCACGTGGGCACATATATACCTTTAAAATACACTATTAAATAGTACATGGGGTAAAAGGTCCTCCATAAAGTTTAGTATCGTAACAACAATTTCAAAATTGAAGTATTTTTTAGACCCTTTTCTTTTTTTTTTTAAATCAAAAGGTGGCAAGGCCACACAATCTATTGTCATAAAAAAAACTAAGTCTTACACAAAAGACTTACAAGGACAAACGATCCTGTGAAGTCAAACCAAATCAATTAAGGATAATTTATATCAAACAACTATTTTTAGAAAGATTATTAACTAATATGTTAATTTGCAAAATCTCAACATATATAATTTGTAGAAAACTGAACTATACTAACGAGCATACATATGTAATTTGTAAAAAAAACTCTAACTATTTTAACGATCACATATACTCAACAACTTTATTAATGATCACATACGTCTTGCAGAAATTAAAGAAAACTAAAGTAGCAGCTAGCTCTAATTGTTGGTACGTGGTTGATCCCTCTTCTGGCCCCATATTTTGAAACAATGCTTAAGCCTCTTGGCAGCGGCTAAGTATTCCACAGCTTGAAGCGGTTTAAGTATGTTGAGTACAATTTCCTTCAACGTATTCATCCTCAACTCATCAGCGTCTTTTAATACACCAGCCATATATCGGCTATGTTCATCTAAAGCTTCATCTGCATTCTCACAATCATTCTTCGTTTTACCGGCGAAAGGCAGATCCACAATGTCCTCTTGCAAGCTAGCCAATCTTGAAGAAAGATTATTCTCTTCTCTAATCGTTTTAGCTTGTAAAGCGTCAATCATGTTCATTTGTTTATTGGTCAGCTCACCGAGCTTTTTCCCTTGAAGAAACTCGGTGAGATGAGACTCGATGTCTATGCCACATAGCACGTACGCGAAACGTATGAGAGAAGATGGTCTACAACCAGCGATCCATCGCACCGAATTCTCCAACGGGGTGCATGAAGTTGGCGCAAACAGTGGTGACACGTCGGTCCGGGCTAGACGGCTACGGTTGTTAGCATAATCTTGGAAATTTTGTACGGTTTTTTCGATTAGTTGAGTGAGTTGATTTTCATTTTTTAGGCCCTTTTTGGCTTCAAGTGCAGCTTGTTCAAGCTCTATCGTTTCTTTACGTTGCAAATTCATCCATGTCTCGTATGCGCATTCTTGCTCCGTTGGACTATCACTAATGCTACGGCTTGAAGTACTCGCCATTTTATGTTTTACCTAATTGGATTATGCATATGTGAAAAAAATATAATCGGAAGCTAAATTATATATAGTCCTATTTACAAGACAAAAGGACAGGAAAGAATATTTGAGATTTTATCATTTTATTGTTTGTCCACGTGCAGCACAAGATAAAGTTTCGTCCTCATCTATGAGTACATAACATTGCATTGGAACTTCATATATTTTGCCAATATATATATATATATATATATATATATTTGAGTTACGGAGAAGGAGTAATCCGTTTCAAACAATAGTTTGTTGCTGTTGAGAATACAATTGAATAATAAAACTTATTTATTTTAATAGCTTAAACTTTTAGGTGATATACCCTACTATCAAATCTGATCGCATCCAAATCAAGAAAAAAAAAATCACACATTTTAACAATGGTAAATAAATGGTCACACTGATCATAATTTTTAGGTTTAATTTTCTTCTAATTCTGTTTCAGCCCAAAATTTATTGTACCTATCGGCCCCATTTTTTTAATCTTACTAGATTCTTAAGGCCCGTGATACGGGCCCAATATAATCTATTATTAATCGTTATTTAACAAATATTAAAAGGTATTCTATAGCATTCTGATTAACATTAATTAATACTGATCCTAGTAAAAAACTTAGTAAAAAAAATTTAAAATAACTATCAAACAATATAGTGCATCACCAAATTGAATGGTGTTGCTCCTTCCTTAATTAAATATCTTAATTTTGAGTTTTGGATATGAAAAAAATTCTTAATAAGGAGCACTATATCCGAATAGGCATCAACATCGGCGCACATTAGAATTAATCGAACTTCAATATGAATATCGAATACTAAATAAAAAATATTAAATTAAATTAACCAAAAAATATTTTTAAGTATAATTCATATTAACGATGGGTAGATTCATTTTTTAAGTTGTAAAACACTCGAGTTTATATTTAATTATTATTTTTACTATAATGACACAAATTTATTAGGATTTGAAGTTAATTTGTCTGTTAGATTGAATTATATCTTATCTTATATAAAAATCAGGAATCATTATTTATTATCATTTTGATATTTATCCTATTCATTTCAATTAATTTTTCATATTTTTCTTTATAATCTGTTAAAAAGTAATGTTCCTTTTCTTTTCTTAATTCTAACTCCACATAACATATTTAAAATTACAAGATTAAAAGACATTTAGTATATTTCACATATGTTTAATTTGAAACCACAAATTCAAAAATCTTCTTTAATTTCTTAAACTTCATGTCAAGTCAAAATAGAACAAACAAATTAAAATGAAGAGATTAATATTTTTTATTTATCATTCACACATAAACTATCACATGAAGTTCTATATATGTATAATTCAACTTAATGAACATAATTATTTTAGCATGATACAATATGTGTTTTGGGTTCTCTTTTTTCATGCACAATAAGTATTTTTGACCAGTTTAGTGAAAAAATTGCAAACAATTTCAAAACATAAATGCATTTTCTTTTCTTTTTTTTTTAAAAAAAAAAATCTATTTAGAATTAAATGTTAAATTAACATGATATTTTGATACATAGTTCATTACAGATCATATTGATTTCCTTGCCCAGTTATTTTTATCTTATTCCAAAATTTATTCATAATTTTTAAAAAATTTATTAGACATTTGCTATTTTTGTCATCTCTTTCTAAATATTAATCTACTTAAATTTATTTACTTTTATAATTAATGTATTGATTTTCATGTGTTTAATTCTTAACTTCTTATTTCAGACAAAAGAATAGCAATATTAAGTAAATAAAGTAAATAATCTATTGTAAATAATTAAATATTAATCTGATTAATCTTAAAATTTAAAATATTTTGTTATTGAAATATTTTTATCATTAATGTACGTAAATTGAACATAAAGAATATTTATTATTTCTCTTCAATATTTGATTCGCAAAATTTTAAAACTATTTATTTTAAATTTTTGTGAGATTCTCAATTTACTTTAATTTTATTTAATTTATCTATCCATTTTATTTATTTATTAATTTTTATTTTTACGCTCCCTAATTAAAGTATTTTTATTTTCATTTAATACATTTAAAATCATTTTTGTTTCGTTTTATACTTATTTTAGTGCAAAAAGTAAAGGTGTTAATGTAATATAAATTGATTTAAAATATGGGTCCCACCATTTTTAGATTGTACGGCTACTTATGATATTTTTTATGCTTTTCATGTTAGGAAGTACACGTGGTCATCATAATAATAGCAACTTGGTTGAGTATTTGGAAAATTCAATAATTGTGCACCAGGAAGTACAACTATTCTAAGCTGATAATTTTGGTAAAATGACAAAAGTGTCCTTGGTCGTCCTCCTCATCACATTTCATATAATATTAATCATTATTTGACAAATATTAAAAGGTATTTCTATAGCATTCTGATCAACATTAATTAATATTGATCCTGGTAAAAAATTTAGTATTAAAAAATATCAAAAAATAACCATCAAAGAATATAGTGCATTGAATGGTGTTTCTCCTTCCTTAATTAAATATCTTAATTTTGAGTTTCGGATATGAAAAAAATTCTTAATAGAGAGCTCTATATCAGAATGGGCAACTCCAATATAAATATCAAATACTGAATAAAACATATTAAATTAAATTAACCCAATAATATTTTAAAGTATAATTGATATTAGCGATGGGTAGATTCATTTTTTAAGTTGTAAAACTCTGAAGTATAATATTCAATTTATTTATTTATTACTATAAGACACAAATTTAGTAGGATTCAGAGTTAATTTGTCTGTTAGATTGGATTATATCTTATATAAAAATCATGAATCATTATGTATTATCATCTTGAAATCTATCCTATTCATTTCAATTAATCTGTCGAATTTTTCTTTATAATCTATTAAAAAGTAATGTCCCTTTTCTTTTCTTAGTTCCAACTCCACATAACATATTTCAGATCACAAGATTAAAAGACATTTACTATATTTCACATATTTAAAATTTAAAATCACAATATTCAAATATCTTCCTTAATTTCTTAAACTTCATGTCAAGTCAATATAGAACAAACACATTAAAACAGAGAGATTAATATTTTTTATTTATCACTCATACATAAAAATTAGAACTAAGAAGCATGTTTCACTATTACATGAAGTTCTAATGAACATAATTTTTTTTAGCATGATACAAATATGTTTTTGGTTCTCTTTTTTCATGCACAATAACTTATAGGAACAAGTATTTTTGTTATTTTTATCAGTTTAGTGAAAAAATTTCAAACAATCTGAAAACATAAATGCATTCTCTGTTTTAAAAAAAATCTATTTAGAATTAAATGCTAAATTAGCATGATGTTTTAATACATAGATCATTACATATCGTATTGATTTCCTCATCCAAATATTTTATCTTATTCCAAAATTTATTAATAATTTTTAAAATTACTATTAATCATTTGCTATTTTTGTCATCTCTTTCTAAATATTAATCTACTTAAATTTATTTTACTTCTCTAATTAATGTATTGATTTTTCATGTGTTCCGATTCTTAACTTCTTATTTCAAACAAAAGAATAGCAATATTAAGTAAATAAAGTAAACAATCTGATTAATCTTAAAATTTAAAATGTTCTATTATCAAAATATTCTTATCATTAATGTACGTAAATTGAACACGAAAAATACTTATTATTTCTCTTTATATTTGATTCGCAAAATTTTTAAACTATTTACTTAAAAATTTAGTTAGTTTCTTAGTTTACTTTAATTTCATTTGATTTATCTATCCATTTTATTTATTAATTTTTATTTTTATGTAAATATTTTTATTTTTTAATATATTTTAAATCATGTTTGTTTCTTTTTATATTTATTTTAGTGCAAAAAGTAAAGGTGTTAATGAAATATAAATTGATTTAATAAGTGGGTCCCACCATTTTTAGATAGTACGGCTACTTATCTTTTCATGATAGAAAGTACACGTGACCATCATAATAATAGCAACTTGATTGGGTATCTGGGAAATTCAATAATTTTGCAGCCGAAAGTACAATTGTTTTAAGCTGATAATTTTGGTAAAATGACAAAAGTGCCCCTGGTCGTCTTCACTCTTCCATATAATAGAAAAAAAATTGTTGGTAAGGATTTGAAGCGTTAAAAAATTATTTAAAGCATGAATGGAAATTTCTAGAGAAACATAGTTTGGCATTTATATTTGATATTTTTGCCACGTGGAAAGAATTTGGGGACAAGTACAATTATAACAAAAATTAAATTAAAAAATATTGTCTAAATAACAAATATACCCTTAAAGATCTTTCTAGATCTAGTCCCATTAGATATCCATCGATTCTGCTTCTTCATCTTTCTTTTTCCAAACATGCACCCTCTTATTGTTGTTGTTTCTTCTTTGCATCTAATTTTACTTTCTTGACGAAATAACAATGTAAGGTTAAATTTTTGAAACAAATGGTTAACAAGGTAAGAAAAATTATGTGGATTAGTGCAGATGAAATTTTTTTATGAAACAAACCCACTCACTTTCCCTGCAACTCCAAACAATTCCTTCTCTCTCTTATATTCCTATCCCTCGATCTCTAACTGTATTTTTTCCTCCAAAATTATGAAAATGTTTGTCCATTTATTATTTCCTACAAAATATTTTCATCAAATTCACACCCTTCATTATATTTGGGAACAAAACTACAGAGTAATTGAAAGAGAGAACACAAGATTCTAAGAAAATTGGGTGAGTTGATGTAGACATTTTTATGGATATTAATTATAACTACAGTGTGATATTCGAATTGAGGGACATGTTCATATGATCTTGAACAACAACCTTAATATGAATGAAGAAGAAAGCATTTGAGAAATTTTAAAGAAAAAACATAGTCATACCTTGTATTACTTATGGAAAAAATGAAAATTGAAAAGATCTTTTTAATTTATTTTTTGGTCAACGAAAGAAAGAGACTCTTGC